GCAGGAGGATGGGGACGGGGCAGGAGGATGGGGACGGGGCAGGAGGATGGGGACTGAGGGGGAAGCAGCAGAGCCGGGCACAGGTGGGCTGAGGGGAGCGGAGAAGCTTCCTCTGCCTCAGCCCTCCTGCTCCGGGGCTGACCGAAGCGGGTTAGTGGGGTCGGGGTGTCACAGCACGCGAGAGCCGGGGCAGGGAGCCCGCCCAGCGCCAGGATGGAGCCCAGCGGGTGCCGGCAGATCCGCTCCAGCTCTGCCGAGGGAAGGACGGGCACTGCCCGGGGCCGGGGCTGGGACGCCCCTTCCCAGCTCACGTCTGGGTCAGGATGTACCGGAGGATCCCGTTGACCACATCCAGCGTCTCGTCGCTCTCCAGCACGATGTCGTAGGCATCCAGGTACTTCCCCCTGCGCTCTTCCACCTGCAGCACGGGCCGGCGTGGAGAGGAGAGGGGCCCAGAGAGAGGAGAGGACTGTGAACACCAGCAGCTGCCCCCACAGTCCTTGCACCTCTCGATGCTACTGAAAAGAGGGTCAGTAACCACCCTGACAACGCCCCAGGAGCTCATCACACCCCCCCCAGCTCCCTCCACACACCCCACGGGAGCTCCTATGAATCCCTTGCACCCCCCAAATCACTTGGGCAGCTGCCTGCCCCTCTGTGCTGCCCCCGAGGCTTCCCACCCGCGGAAGGCTGGCAGGGGAGCAGGACAGCTGCTCCTCACCCCCACCTTGTCATTGAGAAAGCCGATCTTGAGGATGTTCTCCACGCTGGGAACGCCGTCTGCCATGGTCAGGTCACCCATGGAGTCCCCCAGCAAGATGATGCTCGTCCTAGTGCTCAGCTGCTGGAAATACTCCGTACCCTGCAGGACGCTGTTGTTCTTGTTGTAGGTGTGGATGAGAGGTCCCTTGAAACGCCTGAGGACTCCCTGTGCAAACAGGACAGACAAAGCCATCCCGTGGCCATCCCTGCGCTGCGCCGCAGCCTCAGGACCCTTCTGCAAGAGGCAAACGGGGTGGGGGGGATGCTCACAGGGCCCCAGTTCTCATCTCAGAGACACCCCCAAGGAGTCTGGAAACTCAACAGCCACAAAACACCTGGAGAGAGTCCCCAGGAGTCCCCTTTTGGGGCAAGCCCTTCCCAGACGGTGAGAACAACCCCAAAGGATCCTGGAGACCCCGTCCGGGGCTCCGCGCTGCCCTGGAGCTGGGCAGGGGCCCTGGGGAGCCGCGGTCGGGGGAGCCGCAGGGCAGAGCAGAGCCCTGGCAGAAGGCCGGACTGTCACGCTGTCCCATGCTGTCCCACGCTGTCCCACGCTCCCCAGGACTGCCTGTCCCGACACACCGCCCGTGGGAACACAGAGCTTCATTGTGAGAGACGTGCATTGGGACTTTTCAGGCTTTAGTACACCAACAGAAGCCTTCCAAGGTGCTCCAGAGGACATCTGGCCTTCCCATGGGGAGAGCCCTCCTGGTCAGTTAACCCCGTCCTCACCCTGCCGGGACGGAGCGCACGGCGTGGGACACGGAGACGGCAGCGCCCGCTCTGCCACCAGGAAGCGAGTTTGAAAGGGGAAGAGACCCCGCGATGGCGAGCAGGTGCTCGGCGGTCCCCGCACTCCGCCCAGGGCACAGGGAACCTCTAACGCCCCAGTGCTGCTCCTCGGGGGGCTGCAGGTCACAGTCCCTGAAGGCGGCCGGGGCGGGAGGCCACGACCAGCCTCGAGAGCCCTCTGCGACCCCGCAAGGCGCCAGCTCCAGCTCCAGGGATCAAATACAGGCGGCTTCTGACCCAGCGGTGCCTCTGTCGGAGGCGATGCAGCCCCAGTTCCAGCCAGACTCTGCCCTCCACCAGCTCACCGCACGCTCGCGCCGCAGGAACTCACGTTATCATCAAAGTCCATGTAGTTGGACACCACGTTGACGTTTGAGTAGAAGACGTTGGCCTGGCGGATGATCTCTTCAAGGATGTCACCGACGCCGGCAGAGAAGATGAAGAGGGGGACGCTGTACTTGTGCAGCTGGTCGAACAGCTCATTGAATCCATCCCTAGAGCAGACGCGCCCATTACACAGCCCTGCACCACCACTCCCAGCCCGCGGCGCGGAGCTACCCAGGACAGGCGCGAGCTCTGCAAACAGTACGAGCGTTTCGTGGCACCAGCGCTCCCGTGGGGCTCTGTGCGAGGACAGGGGGTGCAGCAGGACCCCAGGCCCCTCCCGGGACAGCGACCCAGCGGGACCACGCAGCACACAGACAACTCGCCCAGCGTCTCCCGGCCACATCCAGCCTCTCGGGAGCGCGGGGGCTGCCAGCCCCCTCAGAAACCCTTCTCATGGACGTGCCACGGGTCGGGCTCGTTGTGAGGACGATCAGACAAACTGTGTCTCGCTCCCAGTCTGCCAGGACACGATTTCCGCGCAGAGGGGGAACCCGGGCTCCTGAAAACCTGGACGTACGGTACCATCTCCTCTCGGACACTGGCAGCTCCTTCAAACCAGTTTCAGGCCCATCGCTGCCTAGGCCAGCTTTAACAGCAAGTTTTAGCCCAACGTTTTTGTGCTGTGCTTGAAGTTTGGTGCTGAGCCAAGGGCCTGGATAAGGCCCAGCAGTTACAGCACGTGGAGAGAGAAAAATCTCTCCTGGGAGAGGGGAGCTGCGTGCTGCCCCCCGCCTGCCCTGCGAAGAGGGAGCTCTGCCGGCAGCCGGGGAGCGGGCTCAGGCCGCAGCTCGTGGCGCTGACTTTTGGCTCTTTCTTGATTCGAGCTCGGCCCCAGGGAGGGAGATTTGCACCTGCCGCGCTGTGGGGACTGCGCACGGACCGGGGTGAAAGCAGAGACCCGACTCGCACGGCGGCAGGCGAACCCCGAGCCCGTACCTCAGCATCACCTCCGACTCCCTGACGATCTGGGCTATGTCACCCTTCTGGATCTTCTGCTGCGAGAGCAGCTCGTGGGCCCGGGTCCACCTAGGGAGAGGCAGCAGAGTGAGCTCGGGGGGCAGCAACCTTAAGGCAGTCAGGAAAATAACAGCTAAACCTTCCCGGTATTGCTGCCAGGCCTAGGGACAGTTCAAGCCCGTGTCTTGTAGTCCTCGGGGGCAAGAAGTTGCCGGGACAAGGTCAAGGTCATCCCCTACAAGCACTCACCACTCCACCATGAGGGGACGTTTCTCTTCCAGGGTCCGGTTGGGATCGATTTCAATGGGGTAGTAATGGTGCAGCAGATCCTTCAGCTGGGGCGTTGTACCGACGGAAAAAGCACAGAGTGAGCATCACTTCTAAAGAGACTGAAAACAACAACAAAAAGCGTCTCCAAATTCCTCCAAAGCATCGCACTTCCTAACGAAATCCACAACCCAAACCATTTCACTGAGCAACTTCTCTCCGGGCAGCTCTGGGGATCTGGGAAGCGTTAACCCCCCCCCGGCAGCCCGGCTGGCTCCCACCCTGCTTCAGATACCCCCCTGCCCCCCCTTAGCAGACTGACAGCGCCCACAGCCGAGCACACGGATTAAATTTCCCTTTTTAACTTCTCCTTCCATCGCTCCCGGCTGAACGCAGCCTGGGCGCTGGCCCCACTGTCCTGGCAGGAGGGCAGCTGTCACAGGAGCCAGCACAACCTCCCGGCCAGGGCTGACGGGGACCCACCACGGCGCCGAGCAGCAGCGCCCGGCACGCCGGCACCCACCTGCTTCTTGCCGTCCTCGCTGATAACGCGGCTGTTATCGAGGATATCTGTAAAGACAACAAAACGCCAGCGTTGCAGCCCAGACGCAGAAAAA